TATGGTTTTAAGCTTTAAATTCATTTTTTTAGACCACACTTTTGGATTCAAGTTAGATTCTTCCTTCAACTGTTTGACTGGAGAATCTGACTGGTCATTTGAATCTAGATTTCATGTGCATATCATAAAATCATATCATATCATTAATCGTGTTGATCTTGGTGCCACAAAGTGAAGAGCTCAGAAGAAGCTGCCATCTCGTGAAGACCGAAGGAGTCCATCTCATGCAAGGCAAGGTTGCACAAAGGTAAAACTGCTCCATATATAGGGATCTAGGAATTGAGATTGTGTGATCTTTGTATAAACTTTTGTTTACGCTAGTGGATTGGACTCAGTGGAGAGTCCTTGGTTTTTTAACCCAAAGATGGGTTTTTCCAGCCAAAAATGTCTTGTGTTCAAGCTATGTTTATTGTGTCACACATCCCACATACACATACATGGTACATATATCTGTTGAACAATTAAATGATATGTGCTCACTGTCATGCTCACTTGACACATTAACTTGCAACAATCTACAGAGTTACTAACTAGGATAGTTTTTGTGAACTGAAATTGGTATTTAAATATCATATTTATCGACTAACAAATATATCTTAGTTGATTGGAAGGTTTGACTGGTCAGTTTAGCGTATTATAATTTTTATATACAAGATATTCCACCTGATACCAATTTCATTTTTACAACACATCAATATGTCACGTGATAAATACACCATGTAAGTAATCATCTTAGTAAGGAAATATATTAAAACAAAGTGTTATCAGACTATGTATTCAAAGAAATTTCCATTCATTTGACACAATAAAATTGTTAACGACAACTTAAATTCCGCCTCACTCGTTATTATCTTCATACTACATCAGCATGCCACGTTATTCATGAAATACAGAATCTCTTATTTGGTTAGACAGGGCAATGCACATTGTCAGCACATGATCCAAGATTAGGAAAATATATTTTTTCGTGTGGAAAATAGGGAAAGTAAGAAGAGAAAAAAAAGAAAAAAAGACCGAAGAGGCATCTTGTGTGAAAAAAATAGGAACCGTTGATTACCATGATGCTCTCTCTCTCTCTCTCTCTCTCTCTCTCTGTGTAACCCTGGTTATATTTTTTACAACCCACAGTCGCGTCTGCTTTTCCACGGGCCTCCCCCCCTTTTTTTATTAACACGCGCACCCCTACACCGCTTGCTTCGTCATTTCCGCATCTCCCTCTCTCTTCTCTATCTCGCCGACTCATCCACTCTCCACCGGGCGCCTCTCAAGAACCCTAAAACCTTGACGTCTACCTCGCACCGCCGCACCCAGACGATTCCAATCCGAATCTGAGGTAATTACTGCGAAAATTTTCGTCGCTAATTCTCGGTCGGTGCTGTTATGGCGACGCCTGAACTCTGTTTTTGAAGTGTTTTCTCGGTTTTTTGTTCCAATTTCTGGAAATTTTGGTTTGTTGTTGTAGTTTGGGTGAGAAATAAAAGGGGAGATTTTTGAAGAACTTTGCTTTCATTTTGCTATCAATTTTATTGTCTTTTAGTTAATCTATACATATTTGTATACATATATATACATACATATACATACATATATATATATATTTAAAAAGTGGGTTTTGAGATATATGATTAAGCAACTGTTTGGCTGAGTGAGCTGAAGGAGTTATGAACTGGATTTTCTTGTCAGCCAAACGAAGCTAAGCTTGGCTCTGTTGATTTAGTTGGTACCCCCACCCACCTCTATTTTATTTTAATTTTCACTTTTGAATGAATTTTTTTGTGCTTTTTGTGACTTGTTATTAGTATTACACAAATCTGCTGACAAATTTGCATTTTTTTTTTCCCGTTTTGTTTCGATTTATTTGCCAATTTTGTACCTTTCAATTTGTTTTCTGCTGATTTCTCTCTTATGGTTTGTGAATTCCTATAAAAATTACGTTGAAATTGATATAATGATCTTTATATCTCTGTTTCTTATTTGTTATGATATTTTGTGAAAGAATGAATTTGTTTTCTTGTTTAGAATGAAACCGATTATGTTTTGTGTTAATTTGATGAACTGAGTTACTAATTGTTTCCTATATATTATGTGTTTGAATCTGTTCCGGAAGCATTCAAGTAGTTAGAAATTGAACCCTTTCAATTTGGGATTGCCGAATTCGTTAAATCATATATGTGTATATCCCCCTTTCTTTTTTAGTTATTTGCCTGAAAAAGAAGGTTGGGGGTCTTGAAAGCCACTTGGGAAAGTCTCTTTGTTTGAATTAATGGCTATTTATTCGGTGTTTTTTGAGCTGTCATGTGAGAATTAATTGGTTTGATTTGTTTTTCTTTTAGGATCTTGTTTCCTCTTTAATCACCCTTCTTATTTTCTTGTCTGCCTACCAATTTTGCAAATGTACTATAGTTGTTCAGTCATAACTGTCTATGTTACTGCATACTCTCTTCTTATGATAACCGGTTTTTTTTTTTTTTCCCTTCGGCTTTGTAGACTTCTGAGGCGCTGGTTCTTTCTCTGCTTGTGATGATCTGCTTTCTTCTCAATTTTGAGTAGATTGAACGGATTCAAGGTTGTTATGATCACCTCTGTTGTTTCTTCCTAGATTTCTATAGCGTGAACATTTTCTTATACTTGAAACTTTTATGACCATTTTCTAATGGGCGGTGTTGTCACCTGTGAGATTTGGCTACTTTAGTATAATAACTCTTTACTCTAATGCAGGATGATTTATTGTCACAATGATGCTGTAAAGAAATCAAGTTCCCTAAGATTCATGTACTGCTGCAGTTGACCAGCAAAAGTTTGGTTTAAATTCTGTGGTCGAAATGGATCGGCGTGATACATCAGGATTTGTTAGTGGGGGTGGGATGTACTCTCCCAGAGACATCTAACTCTTAACTTTGTAGATAATTTTATTTAGCGCAGAAGTTGGCACTGTTCTGTTGCAATTCGATTAGGTTTGTGTAAATTATTTTAGTCGTTACTTAATGGACAATAGGTTGCAGAGTCTGGGTTTTGCTGCAAATTTTTCTTCAAATGCCTTAAAGATCGTGGGCAACTCCATGCAAGTTGGTGGAGCTGGAGGGGAGTATTCTGCAGATACTATCTTACGGCTTAATTCCCCTGGTTCTTCAATGGCTTACATGCCAAGCCCAAAAGGAATCAAACGGAAGTGGAGTTTGGTTGGTGGATCTTTGACCCAGCATGTTGGCTCTTCACTGGCGCTTGGGCTTGGCCGTTCAACAAGTTCTTCAGACAGCAAGGGGAGCTCAGCTACTGCTTGCACTACAATGTCTTCAGCCAAAGAAATGGATGAGGAGTCCTCGATGGATTTGGAATTGGACTTTGCTCTTCATCTTGGAAATGAAAAGGTACCTAGCCCGAGGAAACCTGCTAAGAGTGCACTGGAACTGCAGCCCAAGGTTGACTTGGAGTTAAGTCTCTCCACTGGGTTGTCTGAATCTGAAACCACTAGTGTCAATCCTAGCCCTGGCTCGGTCCTTTCAGGCATGGAGTTGCCATTGGCGGCTGGTGGGGCCCATACTGTAGATGGAGTAACTTCATTCCCTTTGAAGCGAAGGTTTTCCATGCAACCATTGCAGACTTCATTCAACCCAGGGGCTAGCATCCTTTTCAATGAGGTTTCACAAAAGATTGACTTTACTGCTACTGTTCCGGATCTCTCATCAAGCATGTTAACCACACCAAATAGCTCAGTCACCTGTATTTCTTCTGGGATAACACGGAAACAACAGTCACAGCATCGCAGCTCTAATTCAAAGACATGCCAGGTTGAAGGGTGTGGAAAGGGTGCCAGAGGTGCCTCGGGCCGTTGCATATCTCATGGTGGTGGTAGGAGGTGTCAGAGATCTGGCTGCCACAAGGGCGCTGAAGGCAGGACAGTGTACTGCAAGGCCCACGGTGGTGGCCGGAGATGTGAATTCCTTGGGTGCACAAAGAGTGCAGAAGGACGTACAGACTTTTGTATTGCTCATGGTGGTGGCCGGAGGTGCAGTCATGAAGGTTGCACTCGAGCTGCCAGAGGGAAATCAGGATTGTGCATCAGGCATGGTGGTGGCAAGAGATGTCAAAGAGAAAATTGCACAAAGAGCGCGGAGGGCCTTTCGGGCCTTTGCATCTCACATGGGGGAGGCCGTCGATGCCAAGCTATAGGATGCACAAAAGGGGCGCAAGGGAGTACATTGTTCTGCAAGGCTCATGGTGGGGGGAAGCGGTGCACTGCTCCTGGTTGCACCAAGGGAGCTGAAGGGAGCACACCCTATTGCAAAGGCCATGGTGGAGGGAAAAGGTGTGCATTCCAAGGTGGTGGGCATTGTACAAAGAGCGTGCATGGTGGTACCAACTTCTGTGTGGCACATGGGGGTGGCAAGCGATGTGCCATGCCTGAGTGCACAAAGAGTGCGAGGGGACGAACTGACTACTGTGTCCGACATGGTGGGGGAAAGAGGTGCAAGTATGAAGGGTGTGGTAAGAGTGCGCAAGGCAGCACTGACTTCTGCAAGGCTCATGGTGGAGGGAAGAGATGCTCATGGGGCCATCCGGGGTCAGTTTATGGTGTCCAAGCTAGCGCCCCTTGTACCTCATTTGCAAGGGGGAAGACAGGCCTCTGTGCTCTCCATAGTGGTCTGGTTCAAGATAACAGGGTTCATGGAGGTATTACTTTGGGACCTATGGTTCAAGACCCTAAACGTGGGAAGTCGGAGAAGATGAAAGAAGTAGTGATTGCTGATGACATGAATGTTGATGTGATGAATATCGTGAGTGGCATAAGGACTTCAGCAACTGGAGCTTATTCTGACTTGAAACATGGTGGTGAATCTTCAGTCCCCACGATCGTGCCAGAAGGCAGGGTGCATGGGGGAAGTCTGATGGCTCTGTTGGCGGGCGACGGTTTAGATTCGAACACAAACAGCATGGGAAGCAATCCATCTGGGCCAAAGAAATCCTACATGATGCATCAGAACTGGATGTAAGGCTATTTCCTATCTTGTTCTTTGATTCGGTCTCAGTGGTTGGCAAGTGTTTCTCAGGTAGTCAGCATGTCTGTGTCCTATGTTTCTTAGTTTGGTTTAGTCCTTTGATATACATTAGAAGTCAGTTCTCATTCATTGGTTCAAATGGAGAGAACCCGTAAGCGCTTAAAAGATGTTAGTGTAACAGTTGTTATGGGTATATCAAGGTAGGGCATAGTGTTAGAAGTTGAGGAGTCAGGTCATTGGTGTTCTTTCCTGTAAAAATGTCTGTCGTTCCAGCAGTATGTTTGTGAATACAGGTAAGGTTATACCGCCTGTAGGGTCGGTCAGTTTGTCAGAAATTCTGGTGCAATAAAAGCCTTTTTCTGAGATCATTATAATCCGTTTCCGTGTTTGGTTTGCTTGTTTGTCTTGCAATTTAGTTGCTGTTAAGTTTTTGATGTTTAAAGGTATTTGCGGTTTGATAGTTAATTGGGGAATTTGGCTGAAATGATAATTTTACAAATCTCAATTGTTGACATGAAAGTTTTTATTAAATGATCGGTATGTCGCCAATATTTGATTGATGCTGTTGGTATCTGATTTTAATGGATTTGTAAATTGATCGTTTCGGTCGATTTCCCTTAATGATTCTCGGTTCGTGACAAATTCGTGTGAACTCGGAACATGACATGATTTTATTTTTATTTTTTTGAAGAAATGATATTATCTACGCTACACTAAGAGGAGGTGGGGTTAAGCTTCACATTGAACTAGTAATAATGTGGTTTAAATTCGTCTTTGGCGAAAATAGAACCTTAGACCTCTCATTTACAAATCACAAATTCACTTGACCGTAACATAAAGTGGCCACATGTTCAACGACATGATTAAACATATGATTAGGATGGATTCATCTACAACAATTAGTGATCCTTTGGAGAAGTATTATGAATAATCCCTTGGAAATAGGTCAAAATTTTGGAACTTATTTCTGGATTTTCCTTTTTATTGAAACTGCAACACAATTTTACATGATTATTTTTGGTATTAAATCTGCATATGTGGAGCTTTTCCTTTGTATGCCATAATATTCCCCTCTGTCAAGTTAGAATTTGGCCAGTTTAGAAAGCTCATCAACTGCTTCAACCAAGTGATCAAGCCTGGCCACAAACTCTATCAGCAACGAAGTGAAGTTGGCCAGGGACAACGCTGCCGTGCTTTCCAACGCCTTCATCCTCGGCAAGAAGTCTCCAGCCGATCCCTCTTCTTCAAAAGCATCAACCTGTCGAGGTGGCCATGAGTAATGCTGCCTCCTCGACTGCTTCCTCATCAGCTCATGGTAATTGCTAGGCTCCGTCTGCTGCTGCTGCGTGCTTTGGTTTAGTTGCTGGCTCGAGTTCTTCTCGAGGCTATTGCTGCTGTCGAGATCAGCCAGTTGGCTGGTGACATCGGAGCAGGTGTTCGACAAGGTTAGAGAGAGCCTGGTGAGTGGCTTGGAGTAGGTGTTGGTGTCCGGGGGTTCAGACGGCGATGTGAGGAGGTAAGAGTGTATGTCGATGGCGCGTTGGAGTCGCTCTGTTGAGCTGTGGAGTTTCATGAGTAGGGATGTTCTGGTGCTTCTTTTCATGTCGCTGATGTCTTTGCCTAGACTTCTTACCAGTTCTGCGGCGTGGCTCGTCGCATCTCGGATCTCCGATTGGAATGTAATCCGGAGGTTGCAGGGTGCCTAAACACCAATCAATAAAAAAATAAAAATGCAAATTATTAGCAAATTATCATCACACAAATTGTTTTACTGAAAAGACAATGTTTGGGAGATAAAAAATTTAAACTAAATTTGCAAATCAAATTATGTGTCACCACTTAGAAATAAGTACGTTAAACAATACTTCAGTATTTATTCAATCATCAATTACATCATTTGGTTTAAAATGTTGGCTTCCGTTGCATTACCGTTATCGAAATAATCTCTTTCATACTTTTTGTCATAACCATTATAATAAAGGAAAACTACTTTAAGTTTTAACGATGAGGATAAAATAAATGGTAAAATGAATAGTACTATGATTGACTTTAATGTAAAAATGTAGTTTTTCTTTAAAACGAACAATACTGGAAACTTTCCGTTAAAATTCCCTATAATAAATCCAATTCTTCCCATTGAAAACCAATTTTAACCAATTATATCTCAAAAAAAATTTCTTTGTATTTATCTTTTTCATCACAAGGCATAATGCGCGATAAGCGACATAAGAAAAATGATATATACCTAGTTGTAGACAGCTTCTCGAGTGAAAGTGTTTTAAGGCCCCACAATCCCCACTAACATTTGATTGTTTTTTCTGAACAAATTCAATTGGGGTTGTGAATCAGGTCATAGGAATATCTTTACGTGCTTGAGAATGACGATTAAAAACAAACCAGTTGATCATCGTCATGCTTTTTAGCACGTCACGTAATAATAATAATTATTATTATTCTAGTGCCAATTCTTAATTCCTGGTCCCTAAATATTGGACACTAACAACACCAAGAGAATAAACACATCGTATAACTTGTATCCTTTGATTCCCAGCCAGCTCTTAATTCTTTCCAAATATTCCCCAGCTTCTAATTGTATAAGGGAAAAGAGTTTATGATTCTGGCCTATCTGATTCTATATTATTTTTAGGCCTCAAAAATATCAATTAAGTCATTTTTTCTTGTCGACAAATCACATTTTAAGTTTTGTGTGGAAAAGTTTTTTTTATGATTTTAATGAGTTGCATATGTCAAACTGTGATTTGCATGTAAGAAGGAACGACTCGTTACATTTGTTAAAAATCAAAGGGAAAATTAGGTTCACATCCTTCTTTTTGTTACTCTATTGATTAAAATCCTATTCATTTTCAATTTTTTATCAAGGTCCTTAGGTATTAATAACATCATTAATTATTTGAATAATAAAATATTTTTATTTTTAAATATATTCCTTTACTGTTAAAAATGTTAAAATTAGTATATTTATATTTATGGTTAAATTTTTTATCATATATTTTTATTTTTAGTTTGTACCTATTTTTAATTTGCAAATATTTTTTAATTTGTACCCATATATTAGTTTCTTTTTGTGCCCATATTTTTTAAAGTTTTATTTGTGTTTGTACCCATGTGTATACTGTCACGTGACATTGTATATTTAATCAATGATAGAAAAATTACATATGGTATATTTATGTTTTATGCCTAAACTTTGTATCATATATTTATATTTTTAGTTTGTACCCACTTTTTAATTTGCAACATTTTTTTTAAAAAATTTGTGGTATTTTCTTTTTAGTTTATTTTGTACCCATGTATTAATTTCTTTTAGCGCCTATATTTTTTTAAAATTCATTTGTACTCATAATTTTCTAATCTTTTATATGTACCCTAATGTACCCATTCTTCTTTACTAATGTACCACTTTGTTATATGTGAAATGTATCTTTTTTTTGTAAAATGTACCAATTTTTTTTAACACTATGGATACATTCTTTTGCCATTTATTATTTCATATTTTTACATAGTTTTTATCCATTTATTCAATCAAAATGTTTGAATTTTTTTATTGTAACCGTTTCTAATAATATTATAATGAGGGATTTTAAATTTATAGGATTATAAATCTCATAAAATATCAAACAATTAATGTCAAAACTATAAAAATATAAATATTAATAGTAATATAATGAGGTGTACAAAGTCAAGAGACTTTGATCAAACTTTGAATACTATTAAGATTGTAATCAAAGAATGTTAAGGATTAAGGACCGCATCCAAAGTATCCCTAAACTCGAATGTCTTCATGTATACACATGGAGAAGGAGAATATATACCTGAATTTCAGAGTGCAAAACTCCATGAAGTGCCATAACCTCATAAGCACAATATCTCAAAACTGCTGCCACCTTGACATATTCTGACCAGGGATAGAAGAAGTGCCTGAATCTGCCGTGCGGTGGCTCCCATTTTGCCGACACAGCCTTGCATTTCAAAAAATATATGTTCAAACTTTTTCTGGTTAACTTTTAACCTTTGATTAATATTATAAAAACCAATTAATTAAACAAGTTTAATTAATTATTACCAAAGCCTCCAATTTTGCTGATGAGTTCAATGTGTTCTTGCACTTCCTATAAGCAGGCTCATCTGGAAACTCATCCATAACAGTTTTCGAGAATTCAGGGTGCACTGACCCATCATCTTCTAGATATTTCCTAACACATTCTGAGAACAATTATAAGAAACAAATAAATGGTTATATTTCTGTCTACCTTATGATAAAATGTGATCATCTAATCCAAAATCAATTAACAAATAATGAATATTATAATTTGCTTTGATACTATGTTATAATGTGAATATTAAACTTAAAGAATCGATTTATGTGTCAAGTGGAGTCTACTTGTTATATCAAATATTATAATTGACGTAATCAAGATGGGGTCCGAAAATGTAGTCCATGTCTAGCATGGGATTTACATGCATGGCATGTTTTTAGGTTTATGTACGTATTTTGCATGCACGTTATTATTAACATATAGGATTTGCAATTTTCACCGTTGTTGGAAATTAAAAATACTAGTCGATTATTTTTCGCATACCTTCAAGTGAGTCAGCCACCGAGTTAAAGTTGTTGACTAGCTCCTTATGCAATTGCTCACCAGCCCAAATAGGGCAAACCAGCACATTCACTAAGACAGCTACAAACCCTCCGATGGCGATAGAGTAGAGTCGATCCATTGCTGTCCTCATCGGGTTTCCCATCGATAAGCGATACCCAGAAACAACGATCAAACAATAGGTGAAAAGTACGACCCTGAACCCATACTCATATGGCACGAGTGATGGCCACAACTTCATGAACGATGTAATGGTTCCTGCATAAATAATCAATTAATTCCAACAAAAATTATAAGTGTTTGATAATTTGATCAATTTCTATGTGTTTATATGGCTTTTATGATCGTCATTTGGGGATATTCGATGTGTGACATACCGATTATGAAAATGCTAAAGCCAATGATGATAGGTTCAGCTACGCGTCCAGAGCTTAGTGCTACTTGAGCAACACTAATGGCCAAGACTCCGGCAAGCAAACTCCCAAGAGCTCGGTTAAATCCTCTGTTAAAGGTTGCACCTAGAACAACAATGATACATGCTACATGGGCTTCTATATATAAACTAAATAAGTTGTTTGGTTACATATCAAAGTATACATGATTGAAAAGAAAACATTTGCTTGGTGTCAGGTTCCAATATCAGTGATCACCGTCCATGATTTAATTTCCTCGGTGTCAGGTTACTACTTGACACATGGTGTATATGTATGGCATACAATTGATGGGTGTTTTGCCTCACTATGTTTGATATATATTTGGTCAATGTTACTCAATTTGATCAAATATCGACATTGTACTAGGTATTATAAATTGGTATCCAAAATCAACTATCACCGTACATGATTTAATATGCTAATTGATCTTAAATTACTTGCAAATATGCACACGTAATATGCATGCGTAGTTGGATATGCTCTTTTTACCATCCACATATATATTGTAACCTTAGCTAGCAAGATGTTAAGTAGTTAGCATGTACAGGATGAATTGGCATAAATATATGTGCTTATGCATGCATGCATTGATTTTTATGTATGCATGCACGTACGAACGTACCGACTGTATATTCGAACATGATGGCAACAGTGAGGATAGACCAGATGATATTGGTGCCAAAAACTTCATAAGGTGCTCGGAAGAGTATAAGCAAAGACACAAGAAGCACAGCCAGCCCCACTTTCAGTGAGAATTTCACTCTGTTGCTATCTTCTCTGGCAAATTCCCAAACGTTCCGCACCCAAGCCTTAAGGGAGAAGCCTCCTCCTTCTCCTCCTCCTTCTCCCTTGCTGGATTCATGCTGTTTGACTTTGGTCACAGAACAAGGGATGTTAATCTCAATACTATGACTACCCTTTTTTCCATTCATTCTCCAATGAAGCAGTATAGCCTCCCCCAACTCTTCTATCAGGTGCTATTTCTCTAAGAGCCCCGTATTATCGAATTAATCGCTTATAATAAAAGCACTTTTTGAAGAAGCCGGGGAGAACAAGGGAGGAGATAGATCAAATTAAACTGCGAGAACAGTGTTGAGTAGTAGGATTTGAGGTGTGTTCATCAGAAGAGAAGAGACTAGGTTTTAAAGAGGAGGGGTGGTAGCTATGTTTGATGGGCAAGTAGGTTAAAAAGTACGTCTAGTCAGGATGTCATATATACAAGAGAATACAATACGACAATAATAGAAAAGAGAGAAAATGAAGCTAAACCCTGAGGATAAAAAGATGCTTAATTACAATAATGCAGCCTGCACTGCATGCATAGAGAATTAGAATCTCAAATGCAGTTTTCAATCGCCAAACACGTTTTCTCTTCCAAATATCGACCTCGTGAAGGTGGTATTTGCAGAAGTATACTGGTACACAATCTATATATATATATATATATATATATATTTTTTTTTTTTTTCTGAAAATTTAACTTTTCCCCTCCAAACTCATTTTTTCTAGCCTATAACCTATATTATTTTTATCTGAATAAAACCCAATGATTAGGATCCAGCTAAGCAACTTACCAATTAAGTTTAAATTCCGCAAAAGCATTATTGTCGTGTGTATGTTAATATAGAAACTAATATGAAAGGTTTTGTGATATGGTTGTAATTGATCACGTGCATTCAAATTTGACAAGGTCTTTCGCCAAAGGTACATTTAAACTACATTATTGCTCGCCCATTATGAGACTTAGCTCATTCCCCCATCCCCTCAGAGTAGATAAGAAAAGATTAATGGATGGACTATTTTGATAAAATTAGGGTTAATCAAACTGAAATTTAAAATAAAAAAATCCCAAATTAATTTCTACATCTATTAGAACCATATTTCATGGCTACAGACCTTGTCAAACTTGAATGCACGTGATCAATTACAACCATATTACAAAACCTTCCATATTAGTTTCTATATTAATACACACACTGCAAAAATGGCTTAGCGGAATTTAAAAAGAGACAAAAACTAACACAAGCTTAATTTAGTAAGTTGCTTAGTTGGATCTTAATCACTGATATTGGAGGGGAGAAGTTATATATATTCAGTTGTTTTTATGATGAAACCTTAACTTTTGTTATGTTTTCAGAGCATATTAGCACGAGTCTGAAGCTCAACAGCTACACGTGCTCCAAGTTACCCAATTTGTGTTGTTCACATAATAAACTTGAAAATATGTCTCACATGAGGGACGTTTGAAAATGAGAAGAAACATCTCACAATGGAAAAGTTTACCAAACCTTGCATGTCCTTATAAGGTTACTCCCTATATATATTGCTAATTATAGTGAACTGTCAACTTACCATGTCATTCATTGGTAAGACATAATTGAGAAATAGATATAAACTAAAACTTAACGATAAATATATATATACATATATATATATATATATATATATATATATATATATATATGAGACGGCCAGTAAACACTAACCTGTATAATCCCCTTGATAATTTGGTCAGTGTTACTTCACAAACTATTGCTGTAATTTACTCGAATGAAAATTTGTCTTTTTCTCTTGAGATCAGCAGTGAGGTGTATTAAGGAAAAAAAAATTAGGATTTGAATAGGTCCTCACTTTTGTTAAAGGAAAGTTCCTTGATATTTACCTAGAAGGGAAAGAGTGAACTGAAACAAGAGGAATATTGTATAGAACAAAGAACTCAGGAAGCTACACCTAGTTTCACAAGGAAGCCTCTTTGCGATTTTTCTTTGCTGCAGGAATATTTCCTAGGATTTGGATACGTGATCAATGGCTGCTCATTGTTCTGGTATATGCACAAGTTGTCAAAATTATTATATCAAAGAATTTTCTATCCCTAATAATCTTCAAACTTCAGCATGCTTTCTCTGGTGGCTGCTTTTCTATCCCCTTGCCTCACCTCAATGATTTAAGCATAAACATGTTCTTTCTTTCCTCTTAATTAACACATAATCCTTAGTATCCATTTAGCCATCCCTCTTTTACTTTATCATATTTCATCCTTTTATGCCTGATTTATTCCTTAACTTTGACATATATAGAAATATATGCCATGGTTCTTTAGTTACTATAACCATACACTTCATTTTTCAGTTAAATCTTTAGGAACATATTCGAGGAATAAAATGATGTACATGCATAATTTACGTGTACATTACCATGAGAAGTGATTAAGATCAGCTGACTCGATGGCCAAGCGAGTGAGTGGTGTGTATAATGAGCTCCCAAAATTTAACCTAGCTAAGTCCTGTAATTTTTTTTTTTTTTGAACAAACGATATTATTTACACCAAATGGGAGGGGATAGGCTTAGCCTCATAATGAGCTAACAATAATATTGTTCAAATTTTTCCTTGGGTACTACCAAAGTTAAATTAAACCTTAGCCCTATAATTTGGAGATCAAAATTTGATCTTTTTAGCATTCAAGCAGAGGTAGCAATTGAGTAGCAAAGTTAAATTAATTTGTTATGTCATGTAGGAAAATGCATCTCTAACCGATGTAGCAACCCAATTAGCAAATGAAAACGTAGTAATTGATCTTGTATATTTACATATGGTAAGATAACCTTAATAGTAAAGATTTGAAAATAAAATTTATTATCGTAGATAAGATAAACTTAATGTATTAATATATTGAAGTGAAAAATAAAATTTGAAGAGTAGATTGGATTGACGAACTTTTTTTGATACAATGCTATATTAATCTATACTATGGAGTGGGTAATAAATTGGTTGTGAATTCGTTATTTCAAAGATTCAAACCTAAGATCTCTCATTTACAAGTGAATATGAATATTACTAAACCGTAATACTATGTGACATAGTGACAAACTTTTAAATACCATAAAAGGGCCACATGTGTTAGCAAGGATTATAGCGATCACAGGTGGTTCAAACCCCCATGGTTTGTCACGTAACACTTTCATGTTTTCTATCAACTTAAAGAAATCTACAGATTCGACATGGATATTTGACAACGAAAATTACTGCAGTTTGCTGTATATTCAGAAGCTTGAAAAGTTTGAAACTGTACAGAAACTCAAAAGGTTCACTTCTTTTGTTTAGTTTTTCTCAACTTTGGTGTCTATTTGATTTACTTAACTAAATCTTCTACATGGTTCAAACCTATAAGTCATGGCACTTTGAATTTTCTCAATGATATTACATATTACATCATACAATTTATCAAATATCTAGCACATATTACATCGGATTATTAACAGTTCAGATTGATAGTCTGATAATATAGTATGTAATATTTAGAAACAAAAGGAGAACATTTTCTTTTGCGTCATATTACACGTGAACTATCAATTTGTGTTGCAAATAAACTCTCACACGGTGGAATTGGATGCCCAGGTGATTGAAGTTAGGATCCATGACTATTCTATACTCCCATGTGGAAGGGGCCAGGGGCTTGCGGGAGATGCAAATTAATGGACCACCTCCCACCACCACCCCAAGTAGATCGAAGTAGATATGTATTATTTATATGAATAAGGCCATTAAGGTGGAAAGTTTCATGAAAATATAGCTCTAAGTTACCATATACGTTTGAATTTAATTCAAAGTCCTTGACAACATTTATATTGTAGAACATGATGCATGAGACTGGGTAAATCATGAGCTAAGTATTTTGATCATTTGGCCATCTGAGATGATTTGGGATTTCACATGGATGAGCTCATGATTGGGATTTTGATATATGGGCCAAAAACTTAAAAATATTTAAGTGCTAGTAGTGTTTGAAATATCTTGGATATGCTTGATATTTCCATGGAAATATAAAAAAATTCAGCGAATGATATGGAAATAGGGGAAAAGCCCCGGGGGGGGGGGGGAAGCCCATATATACGATATTTCCGAAAATCAGTTAATTTTTTCGATATTTTTGATATTTTCAGGAAATATCCATGAGCCTATGCATTCTTTATTTTTTATTTTTTTTTCTTATGGTATTAGTTTACTTTAATAAAACTTGTGCTGCTTTCATGACAAAAATTTCAATTAAATTATGTATAATTTATTCTTTCTAGTGAAATGCTTATTTTATTACTTGTCATTATAAAGTAGTTTTTCTTCTCACATATCACATATTTATTGTTTACATAGTATCTAATCATTAATTTTTTATTCATACATGTGTTGTGACTTCATATAACATTCCCTAAAAAATAATTTTAAATTTCCATGTTTTTGAGCAAATTTCCATCATTTCTATTGAAGGCAATCGATATACAATATATCCATTGATATTTCTACAAATCTGCTTATCGGTATTTCCACTGATACCGATATTTTAAACACTAAATGCCAGTACCCCTTTGTTTTATACACAAATTAGATTTAACATGTATTAAAAAAATCTTTTATAATTTTATGATATATTTCAATAGATGCATCGAACTATGATTGACAGTTAATGAGAAATGACATCTTACATACAGTCAATGTGCCTAGAGAAATAGTTTGCATGGGTACATATTCCTCCTTTCCTGACGTGATAGGTGGTGAGGAGATAGGAAGAGAAGGTAACCAATAGAGAGGAGGATTTTCTCTCCTTGTAATCTCTCTCGCATTTTTTTTTCTACTTGAACAGTTACGATTAAACCACGTCAACATCTTATGTTGATTTTTTTTATAGAGTCAATAAGACAAAAAGCAAGTGTAAGAGGAGGAGAGGGAAGGGGATGAGAATAGAAGATGAGAGAATTCTACCCCAACCAATAGGTATGTGCAAGGTTCTCTCACATAATAGGGTTATTATAGATTCAATTATGGTAGATTGTCCTAATGGATAGACATTCTTGTTTAATCAATGCGCCTCGGGTTCTAATTCTCTTCTATCCTCTTAGTGTAGTTTACCTTTTGTTTGAATGAGGAGATATATTTTGAAGTTGGACAAAATTAGAATTTATAAATTTATTTGCACTAATTTCTAGTTAGGATTCATAAAGATAAATGATAAAAATATACAATTTTTAGCTTTTTACATACCCCTGTTTAATTATGGCAGTTGATTCAATTTAATTTATTCAATCTAATAATTAGAAAGAAAAATAAATGTTGTCTTTGCACCATAATGTGGGTTCGAATCCTTTCGACTTTTTAATTTGATATCTAATTCAAT